GGCTGAACTCAGCTAGTCTGCCCCAAAAGCATCACCAGTATCTACAAGTAACCATGTAAACCTACCTCTTATCAAATACACTGGATACTGGAACACTTGATCATCTAATCCTTTCACATCCAGGTAGATGTTGGCTGTGAAGTGCCACTCCTCCATCTCGAAGAACTTCAGTATCACTTCATTGTGAGTTTCATTAAAATCCTGGAAAAATTCAAACCCACAGGTGAAGAAACACATCCTATCTTAGGCCTCAATTAATTAGTTCTTTCCATCAAATGGGCATGTTCAGTTAAGAGGCATTTTATTTTGTAGTTTTACGGTTTGTGAAAAGGCATCAGTGTTCATGAACTATTATCATACCTCCATGTCAGAATGATGAGATCTGATTGGTCAATGTGATCTTGATAAAATACTGTGTAAACCGCCTTAGTGGGTAATAAATGTCTGATAGGGGAAAGAAATCTCTTATACCCCGCCATGAGCAATACAGACTGCACAAGAACTTCTGAGACACAGAATAAATCCCTTACATCCAACTTCAATGGAAGTCACGTTACATAGCACAAGTTAACACCAGCTCAATTAAACAGCTGTTTTCTATCAATTTTGAATTTGTGTTGATTCTTTTACAATGTCAAATTAAAACATGTCAGTAAGATAAATTCGTTGTAGCAGGATCACTCAGGGTACATGGGATTTTATGCATCCCTCGTATATAGTTCAGAAAAAAGCAACAAAATGATTTGAGGCAGGATGTTTGCCGGGGAGACAGATGGAACAACAACATTTTAAATGATTTTGGGCTTGTTGTTTGCTGTAGTCAACAATGGTACAGCGATACGACAGTGGTCTGAAAATATTTTAGTGGGGACCAGATAATCCATATAATGAACGATGCAGACCGATATTATGAACAACGATCCACGCTTTCGGAGTATGTTGACCCGCTATCCACCACGTCAAGCCTGAACAACAGATCCATTCCGTTGCCCCTTGCAACCAGCACATGCTGCTACAGGGACCAACTTTAACCCAGAATCCTCATTGGTTCCTACACAACATCACATATGGATGCAAGAGTCTCTTTCTTCTCCCTAATCTGACCTGAAACAAATACATACCTTTTGTACGACTTCTGTGAGAGATTTTGTCTGGTTGCCAGGATACAGCAGATGTCGGTTGCCAACATTAAACATGACTGACTTCACTGCAGGGGTCTTGGACACAAAGCAAGTGAGGATCACTCGGCGGTCATTGGCACTGGCAGTCTTGTTGCTGCATGCAACCATTGGTTTGTCTGCAACATGGAAAATACATCACCTATAGATTTACATCAGTTGATAGTTGACTTTCTAGATGTTTTCTTTTTGTTTGTGTTTTTGTTGTTTCTCAGCAATATTCAAACTATATAATGGCAATCTATTAAAAAACAAATCAAGTCTGGACCAGACCATGCAGTGATGCAGGTCTCAGACGTTTACCACTTCGGTGAAACCCACGAGTATGGGTATGGTGCTGACAAACCTAGAAACATAATCAGGGAGAACAGGGATTCGAACCCACAATCGTAGGTTTCTGCCGTGCCCAAGGGACGCTACTCTGCACACCGAATAGGGCGCCTTAGACGACTGGGCCACCCGTGACCTTGTATTCATGAGGAACAGACGTTGGGTGAGGTGAAATGGGGTTTAATGTTGTGTTCAAGATTATTGCACTTAGATAGTGATGTGCATGTGAGTGTGGGGCTGCTTGTACTAGTTCGGAAAAATGCTGATTTTTTAATGCTTCTCCACTGGGAGATGATCCTACATACAAATCAAGCATCACCTTACCCGTCATAATGCTAGTTATCTCCCTTTGACTAATAACTTCATTCGAACATTCAGGGTTTAGCCTAGTGGATGAGGTTGTCAAAGAATTCCAAGGAGATCTGTTTTTTAGTAGCTGATGATGATAATGATAAAGCTCAAGCTGTCTCCAGGTGTCCAGGAAATGAGGCAGATGGAGACAAAGAGCATTTCACGAGCTCCAGATAACTTTTTGAGCAATTGAGCTTTTGAATACACCATGCCATTTAGAAAGTGGTCAAATGTAACAAATGTTATATTTGGGATAACACTTTCTGAGTAAAGTACAGCCTCACTCTGGCAAGTGTGGGTTCGAATCCCGGACTGGACACAACCCAAAAAAGTACTAGAATCTGTACTTTACTAAGAAAGTGTTATCCCAAATATAACATTTGTTACAATTGAGCTTTTACTCGAAGGTTTCTATTTTAATTATAACATTTTTCATTGGGTAACCAATATTTTTACACTCATCTATTCATCACTCTGTTGGGTTCTCCCCAAAATGATTAAAAGATAATGAAATAATGTTTTAGATGCATATAGCTGTTCTAAATATAGGCTTGACTCGTAAATTAAATTAGCTCAACATTGTGTTTCAGACAATGTCGGAAATTTGCCCTGTTGTACGCATGCTAAAAAAGCTTAATTGAGAATTTCCGCATGCTGTTTTTATACATTTGTGTTTTTCATAGAATGCATGCGTTTCTGTACACAAGTTAATTGAAAGTAATCGGGTTTTGAATAGTTTTGTAGGGTATTTTACACAAATACGCAGCTTATCAGTAGCTCTGCTTCACATGCTCCATGCTGCCTTTATACTGGTCAAAAACAGACATGTTGATGTTCTTGGTGATGATAATGATGCACGTGGATGATTGACAAGACGATGTCTTTTTAAAAAATGACATATTGTATGAATAAATGCTTTGAAGACTGGCATTAATGATATGTTTTTTTATACGTTAAAAACATAAGCACTGCAGTAACCTACGGTTATAACAAACTACAACATGTACAAGGGACCACTAATTTAGTTCATTATAATCGTAGTCTGTTATAAGGTAAAGGCATATACTGCATATGTATAGCAAATGGTCGGGACAAAAAAATTAGATTGTTATATCCGTCAGTTTGTTATAAGCGTGTTCGTTATTAACATAGTTTAGCGAAGTTAAAATTATCAAGGAGCGGTAAAAGGCATATCCAAGTCCTTGTTGCTGGTTTCTCCAGCTGACAGGTATCACACATGCATGACTCACTCACCTACAATCCCTTCAAGGGTGATGCTGACCGTCTGGTCTCCGCTTTCCATGGTCACGCCCTCCGGAAGGTCCGGTTCAGCATGGCACTTGAGTACCTTATTGAACAGTCTGTGATCAAAGTCCAGCTCATAGCTGACCATAGCCTTGTATGACCTTCTTTCTGTGTTTCCGTCCTTGTCCAAGATAGCGGTGACATCGCCCGTTTTAAGATGCTGGTCACCTGCCATTAAATGAATGACTGGTGCTGGGTTGGAACCCATTGCCTCGCATGTCACCGACAGTGTTTTAGACTTCGATGATACGGTTACTCCATCAGCTTTTTCCTCCCCATCAACTGTCAGCTTGATGCCACTCACGGGAGCTGAGGAGACAAGCACAGATACATAAGCTGACATGTCATTGCTGGACATGAAACACAAACATGCAGGGCCCTGTCCCACAAAGTGATCTAAGCGCTGTGGTGATTGTAAGCCTTCGTTAAAGTGGAAGATCGCTTTGTGGAACGGGGCCCAGGGATTTATCTTGGACTCAATATTGGAAACCAAATTGGGAAAATATACTTACTTTGCCCAATATTGGGATTGTTTTAAAGTCCTTCTCTTCTTAATTTCACAGGTAATACAATATTTTATCAAATACAATAACGCCTCTCCTTTCTATTGGTCCTGTTTACAGGGAAATACAGGGCACGTCTACCAAGCCATAATATTACCTATGACTATATCAATTTGATTAAAATGGATATGGAAAATATTAATTCCAATTTTGGTATTTTTACTGAAATTTGCAGCAAATTTGGCCCGAATTTCAGCCTCTGAGAAGGTCCAGATAAATCCCAGACCATGCCTAAATAACTTAGTCGCATATTCAGGAATTTGTCAAATCCAGACCCTACAGAAACCTGATCAGTCAGTAGACGAACAGATTTTTGGTCCTGTGGGGCAAACTTATCCCGTAAAATCTGCTTAATGCATACTTCCTTCACTTGACATCATGCCACAAAGGACCAATTTTTATGCAGTTGACACCACAGGGACAATGCCAAAAAAGAGTTGTTTTTCTCAAATTACAAAAGTCACATGGTTTAAGAATATATTCTTTAGTGACATAAACACAATAAAAGTAACATTTCCTACATCGATCATGTAGATAAATCCCTGCTAGTATGTTAATAGTATGTTAATACAAACAGGTATTTATCCCCATGATCTTGGCTTCCAAACTAAGAGCCCTTGGCAGGCAAATTGGGATATAATTGTTACTGTTACAAATTATTATTTTTCTAAAGTTGTTATATACTTAATTTCAGATTAAGCATTAATGCATCATTATCCTTAATGGTCCTCTGATCAGTACAATACAAGTCACCTCAATCAAGCCATCACATCGCCATGGTCATAACTTTATCAACACAAATTATTGAGTTGGGTTTAACGCCGCTTTTAAGATTATTCCAGTTATATCACGGTGTGTCAGCTTAATGTGGGAGGAAAGCCCGAAGTGATGCAGGTTTCAGATGTTAACCACTTTGGTGAAACCCACGAGCACGGGTATGGTGCTGACAAACCTAGAAATATAATTGGTGCGAACCGGGATTGGAACCCACAATCATATGTTTCTGGCGTCCCAAGGGACGCAACTCTGCACAGCGAATCGCGGTGCCTTAAGACAACTGGGCCACCCGTGCCCCCTACACAAATAAGGAAATTTAGGAAACTTTGCTGCAGAATATCGGCCTCTGAGCAGGTACAGGGAAGTCCTTTAAGGGCTTTACTAGTCATTTGAAATATAACATTGTTTCTTTATCTTGAACTAAAACATGCTTTGCACAACTAAAACATCAAGTTGCTTGGTTGAAAACTCCTTATGCTATCCCAGACTCACTTACCGAGGAAAACCACCGTCTTGGTTGCTGACTCTAGAGCATCACTGGTCCCTGTCTTCTGTGTGCGACATGTGTATTCCCCGTCAGCAGCAGCAGTAGCTGGAAACAATTCAATCACACAATTTTACAAGATCTCAAAATCCGGTATTAAACAGACTTTGACAAAGACTTGTGACTTTTTACTCGCCCGAACATGGTTCTTCTGCTTATTTTCAGAAGATTTAATGTTCATATATGGACTATTTTTAGCTGAGCTTACTAGGGCTTCCGACTAGAGGCCAAAGAACGGTTCACTATATCCTTGGTAGCTGACTTCCTACCGATTTTCTTACATAAAGCAAAAACACAAGGTTCAAAACAATGTTCATAGTAAGCAGGAAAATGGTCCACTGAGCTGAATGAGTAAGGGAGAGTATGGTTCTTACCCCTTTAGCAATATCATGGTGGGAGACACCAGAAATTGGTTTCACACATTGTACCCATCAGGGGAACCGAAACCTGGGTCTTTGGCATGAAGATCGAACGCTTTAACCACAAGCTGAATACACTGAGCTGAATATACGACCATGGGATGTTTGTTTGTTGTTTAACTTCGCACTTAGCACTATTCCAGCTATATGACGGTGCACCATAAATGTTCGATCTGGACCAGACAATCCAGTGATCAATATCATTGGTATTGATTTACGCAATTGGGATATAACGACATGCATCAACCAAATCAACGTGCCTAACCACCCAATCCCATTAGTTGCCTCTTACGGCAAGCATGGGTTGCTGAAGACCTATTCTAACCCAGATCTTCACGGGTGTGATATTATCTATAAATATTTGTACTCAAAACTGAATATAAAAGTGTGTACATAAACATTCAGCTCATAATCAGGGACAAATGTAACAAATTTGAAGTCAAAAGTAAAAACATGGGTTTTTCAGATTAAAAACGATGTTTTATTGGTCTGTTTTCAGTCGTACAAATGGGTATCTCATACCTCTAGTCGCACGTTAAAAGGAAGCCAGAAGCTGGAATGTAAACAATAAACTTGTTTCCGTCCGGTTGCGCACGCACCTCCCTATGATATGTCACAAATCTCGAAGAATAAGCCATCAAGCAGAACTGGACTGGATTACTTCCCAGTGGGGATGGCTGGCTGGGATCTTACGACTGAAAACAGACCAATAAAACATTGTTTTTAATCTGAAAAACCCATGTTTTAGTCTGTTTTCAGTCGTACAAATGGGTAGAATTCGACGGAACACTGGAAGGAGGGTCGGGGAAGTAATCAGGAAGTGACTTCTTTCACGTCGAATGTACCAAGTTCCTCACCCCTGTAGTGACAATAGAACATTCGACCAGATGCACGGACGAGACAAATTGTTTATCACGAACGCACAGCATGGTTAATGCTCGACACACAACTAACTATCGATGCGACAGGACAACTGCACGGGTCAGTTGAACCGCGATCGAAGTGGTCGACGTATAGTTTAGTTACAGAGCAACACGCAGTATACAAGGTAACTAAAACAGCATGTGTAATGCTCTTCGACAGGACAACTGCACACGTCAGTTGAATTGCGATCGAAGTGTTGTCGGCTTATAATGTAGTTACAGAACGACTCGTCGTATCCAAGGTAACGAAAAATAGCATGGTTAATGCTCTTCGACACACAACTAATTATCGATGCGACAAGACAACTGCACACGTCAGTTGAATTGCGATCGAAGTGTGGTCGGCGCATAATTTAGGTACAGAGCAACTCGCAGTATACAAGGCAACTAAAAAATACGAGCAGTACTATAAAGTATGGGAAGACGATGCATACACCGAATAAACATAATAAAACAGCCGAAGTACTGCATGCAACAAAAAACCAGAAGAATGCGTACATTCACCAACAGTTTTTATTGTAACCTGCAAAGAGATCTACTTGAGGCAACCAGAGTCGATCTGTCAGCAGATGAAAAACTGTTGGGTGGATCATCCACTCCGTGGAAGACGGCCTCGATGGTCTCGACAGGGCGTCGACTATCACATTCTTGGCCTGGGATGAGATGGGCGCGTACGCCCATGTCTAAGGGTCCTCACTTCTGCCCCCGCTGGCTCTGTCCCCCCCTGGGATACTTGGAAAAGGAGACCTGGCGACCTTTTCTGTCCGCATCACTCTCGCGGGACGGCTGTCGAGGCGTGTCCCTACGAAAGGCCTGTTGCACATTCTCGTTTCTATAACGGCGTCGTTGGGCGTTCGAAACCAGTGGCCGCCTGGACATGTTGTGTGAAGCCGAAATGATGATGTCACGCTCGGCTTCCTTGGAGTACTTGTCAAGAACATCATTGGTACGACCGTCAAACAACTGTTGCGATGACCACAGGGCCCGTAAGAGTGTCCTGCCATGACGATTAGGTAGGTCAGTGCAGGCGATGTAATCATGACGACGTGCCGTAGTAATCTGGCCCGATACATATCGGGACTGGGCGAGGACGTCCGAGATCCACCGTTGCATACAGGTGAGGATTGATGGCACCGTCCTTACGTCCTCGTCGAAGGGGTCTTTCTCCTCAAAGTACACTGAGAGGGCCTCGATCGCTGTTGACAGCATAGCAAGCAGTTGTAGCTGGTGACGAACAGCAGTGTCCATGGATTCCAAATGCCTGTCTTCTACTAGAATCTTGGAGGGCGCTGGTGTCTTGAAGAGTAGCCCCCAATCCAAGTCCCTACTCATGGGTGACGAAAACGGCATGCCATAGATCGGGTAACTAGATCGACCAGGCAGCTTGTTGAAACTCTGTCCCGGTTGAGCAGAGGCAAAGTTCTGGTCCATATCGTGAGCCATGGCTCTGAAGACATCGGGAGGTGAAAACTGAAGAGACTGTGGCGTATCTCTGATTTTAAAGCCAGCAAGCGTTGGTTTGTCGACATCATTTGATAACTCAGGCAGAAAGTTAGATAGCCAAGCAAACAACTCAATGTCTTTGGGAGGCCTGGGAGGGCTGTCGTCACAATCCATCGTCAACGTCGATTGTGTAGGCGTAGATGAAGGAACTGGTGTACTGGTCGATGGTCCATGGACCTCCGACGTAGTCGAATCCTTCTTGGTCGACGCTGTCGAGGCGAGTACCGCCGCCATGATCTGGGCCATCAAAGTCGGGTCGATAGGAAAGTGAGACGAGGGTGTCGATCGGTCATCAGCTCTACGACGCTGATCTCCAAAAAACTCCCTTCGAGAGCGTCGCACGTCCCCGTGGGGGCGAGGGCTACGATCTCTAACTGTATCGTCCGAAACTGTCTACTGTTTACTGTCTCTCGACGAGGCCCTCAACCTGTCGTCCTGTGAACGGGAACGACTTCTAGAGAGGGATCTGTGTTCACTGTCGACCCGCACAACGTTCCTATCGTCGTTGGTAAGACGAGAGACGGACCGACTGGGGACCGTAGTCCCCTCGTGGTCTTCGTCACCACCCGGTCCCGTCGTAACTTGGGTGGCTGAGTGACGCTCTCGATCAACCGATTGACGAAGATCAGTCGTGCGGGTAGTATCAACAGCAGGCGAATGGTCACGTGTCTTGTCGAAAACATAAGTTGACTGAGGCGGGTCTTTATCAACTGATTTCTTGGGTGTGGCCAACGCGCCACCCCCAGGGCCAGATGTAGAGGGTGCAGAGTCCAAGGATCCACCCGATGACCTCTGCTTGTAGCGCTGGTCAGTAGCCCGCTTCGCCAACGCACGAAGATACAAGTTAAAGTTGATAGAAGACAAGTGCTCACATTCTTTACAACGTTTATCCCACGAACACGTTGAAAACCCGTCCTTAATTATGCAGGAAGGACAATACTTGTGAGGGTCTACTTTAGACAGTTTTTGTTGACATGAGGCACAAATGCCCGACATGTTGCCACGTGTATAATCAAGTCAAACAGTGAAACACGAGTTGAACACAAACAATGGATTACCAAGGATTACATTCCAGGAGTCTACAGGGAAGACATATTATCATTACTTTATTAGAACAACAACTGTAGACACACGATAAGTACTAGTAGACAACAAACAAGCAGTCCATCGCGAAAATCCTTCTCGAGCGACCAGCTCAGAGGCGCGCTGAGAGATTTGTGACATATCATAGGGAGGTGCGTGCGCAACCGGACGGAAACAAGTTTATTGTTTACATTCCAGCTTCTGGCTTCCTTTTAACGTGCGACTAGAGGTATGAGATACCCATTTGTACGACTGAAAACAGACTAAAACAATTATTTTCTACAATTTGATCTATCTTGTGACCATGGTAACAGTCACCAGACTCCATCTTCCCGAGGCAAGGGAGTTAACTAACTTTAAAAGTCCAGTTTCCATCCATGCAGAACTAGGCTGGAATTACTGGGCTCGATCGTTGCGCCACCAGTGGCTATTACCAATTATGTCCCTTCTAAGTTTCTCCTCAGATTCCACCTCTCGTATCACTTACGTTTGCTTCACACAAAATGGTGGCGCTCAGTCAGGATGATCTGCTCGATAATCAAGATCTATATTGTGATAAAACGGGTCTTACATCGCGAAATGCATCAAATCACGTGAGCACCTTGATTAAAAACATGAAAAGATTTGGAAAATATCTGCTGACATCGAGTTGGCGGTGCACATGCTTTGCAAATCCTGCAATCGATCGAAACCGGCTCGACAGTTTACGAACCGGATTTTGATTTCGACTATGCATAGACTCGTTAGTCCAGACAAAATGAAACTCCATAATACCAGCCTAGTTCGGCAAGGGTGGAAACTGGACTTTTATAATCAGTTTACTCTCTTGCCTCGGGAAGATGCAAGACTCAAGTATTGGTACTCAGTATGGGTCTAAAAAAAAGGTGATGTCAAATCAAACAGTATGATGTCATGATATCCGACTTACAAGACGGACACTGGCTCATAACTATGATGGGTATTGGCCCGACTTTCATAGTGCAATTTATTGCAATAATGATTTGTAGATTGCGATACATATTACAATATACTGAATGAGTTCTTCCTGTACTTTCATCTGTAATTTGTTACAAACCTGAATATATAAGAACCTACACAACTGCCTCCACACTCACAATTTTTCACAACTTTGTCGGTGGCTGCCGTTATGTTGGGATGTTGCTATGGTCACAATGTACGCGTAATACACACATTAGACAGGAACCTGTTCACAAATGGTTTCAATTTGTTGTCGCACGAATAAGTTGCTAATTTCTACATTTCATAATCACAATTCGCCGTGTCACTTTTGTAAAGTTTGTCAACAAGATGAAGATATCCATGACTTTGAATACACAATTTACAGGTATTTTCCAAACACATTGGCATACATATTCTGTAGTATTTATATTGTGCAATATCAGTAATACCTTATAGATTCTTTATGGAGTAAAGTTAAGTTCTTGCCATGAATACTCTGTACAGTCGCTGTACTTACCTGACTTTATTTTGAGGGTGACACGAACAATGGGTATCATTTCAAGCTTGATCTCATAATTTTCTGCTGGGGTAACAAGAAGACTCTGTTGCTCTGAAATGATCGTCTCGGTTTCGGTTACCAGGTTCTTGTGGACAATAGCCAGCTGTTTTGATGCCATGAACTGCACGTCTGCATCTGTCGTGCAGGACAAGTTAATCTCATCTCCTTCTTTGACGTAATCGGGTCCAGCGACGTCAAACCTTGGGTTATCTTGTGCATGGCTGATGCCTGGAACAGACACAAGAATGAATAACCATGGTTACAATAGTAAAACCTTGAACTTGTTCATGTGATTGAGTGAGTGACTGGATTAACGCCACTTTTAGCAATATTCCAGCAATATCATGGCTAGGGACACCAGAAATGGGCTTCACTAAATGTACCAATGTGGGGAATCAACCCAAGCCTGCGACGTGATGAGAGAATGCTTAACCAGAAGGCAACAGTGGTGTAACGACTCAATATTGCATCCCAGTCAAAAGCACATGATACAATACAGGGATTAAAAACGAATGTACTGTGATACATTACAAATTATATTGGTGTAATATACATGGCTAATAACAGAAACTGTTAAACACCAGTGTGTGCAGATTCTCTGGTATTTCCCGGCTGGCAATAAATAAATAGCATAACATTCACTGTGCCTATATGTTTCGGGATTACAATATCCTATCTTCAATCTCTGAAATTTAAGAACAAATGATTCAGGGTTGTGATTCATCTGCAAACAGGAAGAATATCAACTTATGGAAAAAAGTACTGCATAACGTTGGTTTGGTTTTGTGTTTAACGCTGCACTCAGCAATATTCCAGCTATATGACGGCGGTCTGTAAATAATCGAGTCTGGACCAGACAATCCAGTGATTGATATCATGAGCATCGATCCACGCAATTGGGATCGATGACATGCATCAACCAAGTCAGCGAGCCTGACCACCCGATCCCGTAAGTTGCCTTTTACGGCAAGCATGGGTTGCTGAAGACCTATTCTACTGCATAACAATGCGAATCGTTGTGAACATGGTCCATTGTTCGACTTTCACAAATCTACGTCTACAACAGGGATTTACCTGGGTTGTTTATCATGGTGGTCCAGTGGACTCCAAGACTTTAATTGTGGGGGCCCAGGTAAAAAATGAAAACAGTTTAACATGTTTAAGCAATATTCAAGCAATATCATTGCTTGACACACCAATGGGCTTCAAACATTATACCCATGTGGGAATCAACACCTGGGTTTCAGTGTGAGAGTGAACACTTTAACTAGTAGGCTTAACTACACCGCCCCATTCTGATAGAGAACTGCCAGCTATCACAATAGCACATTATGACGGAATTTTTTATACCCCTATAAAGTTCCCACAGCAATAACTTTCAGCTAAGCCAACATTCATTCGAAAATTTGTTGTTATGAAGAAATGTAAGGAATTCATCTCCTTTTTCGTTATCTGATTTGGCCACGTTGAGGAGTGAATTGGAAGTGATTTTGTTTGTTTGTTGGATAACGTCACACTCAGCAATATTCCATTCATATGACGGCAGTTTGTAAATAATCAAGTCTGGACCAGACAATCCAGTGATTCACATCATGAGCATCGATCACGCAATTGGGATACTATTATACAGTAACATGCATCAACCAAGTCAGTGAGTCTGACCACGCCTCTTACGACAAGCATAGTCACCTTTGAAGGCAAGCATGGGTTGCTGAAGACCTACTCTACCCCGAATTGGAAGTGAACTAAACTTAAAAATATTTAAGTTATCTCTGGCAGTAGAAATGCCCCCCAAAAGAAAGATTTGTCCACGCTTCCTTAACAATGCTACCCTAGTTACCTCCCTTCCCTCATCAACACACTCAAATGAATAGAAGTGAAAACTGTCAGCTGACTCAACAGGAAGATATGACCATGTCGTCAGTCACTACTTTTCATCATTTTTACTTGTCTTTGGGCAAGTAGATGAGTGAGAATTTATTATTCTTAGGCTGTTACCAGGGTGCTGTTGTACAAAGCTATCTTAGTGCTAAGGTGATTGTAACTCCCATACTTTATCATCGACCTACGACAGTCGTACCCCGAAGCTGTTTCGTACAACCAGGGCACCCAGGGATTCATCTGGACCTGCTCAGAGGGAGGCTTTTGGCCCTGAGTTTGTCGCAAATGACAGTAAACATACCCAATTTAATTATAAAATTTCCAAATACCTGATGTTTTTCCAATTTTGCGTGCCATGGGCACTTAGTTTGGAGTCCTAGATAAATCCTTGGTGAGTGTATGTTGTGTGTGTTAGTCAGCACTATTGCTGCTGTGTCACAGCCATGTGACTACACACCTACAACTGTGAGTGGGAGGTGGCCCCCGCTCACTGAAGCACAACAGACAGCAGACATTCCTGTGTGCAGTCGAACAGAAAGCTGACAGAGACTTGGGCTGACTGCCAAACCCACACTACAATACTCACATAGGACACATTTGACACACTAAGCAGGATCGAAAACTGGACTGTCAAAATCACGTAATATGAGGATTGACTGACTGACTGACTGACTGAGAATGGTTTTATGCCGCTTTTAGCAATATTCCAGCAATATCACGTCGGGGGACACCAGAAATGGGCTTCACACATTGTACCCATGTCGGGAATCGAACCCAGGTCTTTGACGTGACGAGCGAACGCTTTAACCACTAGGCTACCCGACCGCCCCAATATGAGGATTGCCATGTATCTGCACCATCCAGAGATTTGAAAACATCCTTCAGATTATTTGATTATCAATTACAGTCCCATCCATGACACCATTACAAACAACAATTTCAGTACTGAATCCAAGCATGTTTGCATTGGGGAATGAATTCCCTTTCCTAGCGGTGTGGTTTATTCAAGTGTTCACGGTATTACAAAGAGGATAGAATTCGTGTAATGGGATACAAATTGCCATAAATATTCTCCAGGGGTTTCAGATGAATGTTTACTGCACAATCAGTGAAGCCAGCTAGATTATCACCACGTGATAGTACCATCTCTGGTTACACTGACATCAGATGTCAAGCTGTCTTCAGTACGAGATCCTGCAAATTTTAATTTTTCCAACTGTCCCCTGATGTAACTTGCCGATAATCAAAGCAATAGTTTCACCATGTTCACCCTAGGAATGAACACAATTCCACAAGAAGCTACCGATACAATCTTAGATGCAAGCTTCATTCATACAAGTGAAGTAATTTTTAAAGTCTTTAAGTTAATAAGCTTGTCAGTTTACAGAGTTTAAGCCTAGTTTAAATGGTCGGTTGGTTGGTTTGTTGTTTAACGCCACACTCAGCAATATTCCAGCTATATGACGGCGGTCTGTAAATAATCGAGTCACTCCATGGAATTGGGACCGATGACATGTATCAACCAAGTCAGCGAGCCTGACCACCCGATCCTGTTAGTCACCTTTTACTGCAAGCATTAGTTTAAATAGACAAAAGTCTGAGTCTGTTTGAATGATCTTGCTGATGATTAAGTGGCGCGATGCTGCTGCATCACACATCGAACTCAAAATGCAGAATTTGGTTTCTAAATGAATGACTTAGACCTGTTAATGAGTCAGTTACTATTTCTTTGCAGCTTTTAACAATAATCCATGGCAAGGTGGGGGGGGAGAACAAAAAATGGGCTTGGCATCACCAACATGTGAATTGACCCGAGTCCTTTCATGTGATAAGCAGATATTTTGATCACGAGGCTACCCCACCATCCAGTAAGTAAGCATGGTTTTATGCCTCTTTTAGCAATATTCCAGCAATATCACTGCAGGGAACAACAGAAATGGGCTTCACACATTGTACCCATGTGGAGAATCAAACCCAGACCTTCAACATGAGGGGCGAGGTCTTTCCCCTCAAGGCTACTCCACTACCCAGACACTGAATATATAAGCATAAGTATGGAATAGGGCACTAATTGTAACCGTGGCATGATGGGAGTGAGTTTGGTTTTACCAGAGCTCCAGATAAGCTGCGTATCTGCGTGAAATACGCATCAGAAATGCAGAAATATGCAGTAAAATATAATCCAAGCGTATCAAATACGCAACGAACATTACAGATACGCTACAAAAATAAAATTTGTGCGTATCATCAAAATATTGTGAAGTAACCCTGCGTATTCGATTAGCAAATCAGCAACTTATTTTGAAATTATAAACGGGCATTCCGTCAACCTTGCCAAACTCCACGATGACAGTCACATCATGATCATTTGCCACCACACTTTCGTGTGGAAGTATCGTGGTATTTTTGAGTCCTATAAAGCTCTCAAACCCACATGACACCAGTTTGCAGGGACTACATGAATAGTGTTTTTAAATATTTAACTTAAATACCCACATGTGTAAAAACTAGTGGGTAACAGAAATTTGAATACGCAGATAGAATTACTGATACCCAATGATTTTAAAATGCATGGGTAAAATACCCACAACACCAAAAGCTTATCTGGAGCTCTGTTTTACACTGCTTTTAGCAATATTCCAGCAATATCATGGTGGGGGACACCACAATTGGGCTTGAATGTCGGGATTCGAACCTGGGTCTTCGGCGTGATGAGCGAACACCTTAACCACTAGGCTACCTGACCATCCTCTGGCATGATGGGCACCAGCTTTGTTCAAAGGCCGATACAGGTTTGTTGTACAGAAAAGGCCCGAGAGCATGCAATGATCAGTGCTTTAGATTGCTTTTAACATGATCACGTGTGACAGAGCATGCAGTGTGACAGAGCATATGGATGTGCAGCTGTGCCCTCTGGGACTCAAATGTGCCAACCAGAATGCATTTCAATGAAAAAAGTAATAGCTTATTTGAATTTCTGTATATTATGCATGTTTCTGTTTGTCCAGTATATTTAGAAGTAACTTAAGCATGGGCATCACATGACAAAAAGCATCACAAGGTGTTTTTATTACACAGAATGAGATTCCGAATGGTGTCATTAAGGCGACAATACATTTTTAAATCCACCCTTAAGAACCTACCCTGTCATTTGCACATTAATACGAGCCAGTTAGTGAGTATGGTTTAATGTCACTTTTAACAATATTTCAGCAATACTGTGGCGGGAGACACCAGAAATGGGCTTCACATTGTGGCCATGTGGGGAATTGAACCTGGTTCTTCAGGGTGACAAGTGAACACTTTAACCACGAGGCAACCACACTGCCACAGTAATAGAAGGAATTTCGAACCCTTGTATTTGTTTGTTTGTTGTTTAACGCCGCACTCAGCAATATTCCAGCTATATGACGGCGGTCTGTAAATAATCGAGTCTGGACCAGACAATCCAGTGATTAATATCATGAGTATCGATCTACGCAATTGGGATCGATGACATGCTTCAACCAAGTCAGCAAGCCTGACCACCCGATCCCGTTAGTCGCCTTTTACGACAAGCAGTCACCTTTTACAGCAAGCATGGGTTGCTGAAGACCTACTCTACCCCGGAATCTTCACGGGTCTCGAACCCTTATAACAAGTAAAGAGACATTAACATGATATCTCTGGAAACTAACTGTATGAACAAGTTACTTATGACTTTCTACTGTTATGGCAGGGCTCGATTCAGCTACTGTTATCTAAAGCGTTAGTATTTTAGCATATAAAGTTATGATTATTGTAATATGCTACCTAATGTTTAAGTCTACAAGCTTTCGTTTGTTTGATGTTTAACGCTACAGCCAAGGATGGCGGTCTGTAAATAATCCAGTGATCGATACGAGCATCGATCCACGCAAAATGGGATACAATGACATGCATCAACCATGTCAGCGAGCTTGACCACCTGATCCCATTAGTTGCTTCTTGCGTCAAGCATGGGTTGCTGCAGACCAATTTTAAACCCAGTCTTCACTGGTGTTATGTCAACGTGCACCGAGTGCATCATGTAAAAAGCTACAATTTAAATCTCACCCACCATTCCCCAAACAATAATGATCTTTGAGCACACTCACTACCCCTCAGCTTTATGTACCATACAACAACACAACTCAAGCCAATCCCTGCATTATCATAATGTGAAATTTATATGCTTTCTTGGGCTCGACATCATCAAAGTGTTTCAAAATTATGTTAACATGTCCCTTTTTTGTTGTACAGCAATATGCCAATATGTAAAATCATCACGGACAGAGATCTGAGATCATATTTATTTAGACTAGTTTATGCATCAGTGTTACCATGGTTACAACTCTTCTAAATTTATTGGACCTGGTTTTGTTTGGCGCAACTCAGTTTTCACGTCAAAGCACCTGGTGCAAGTTAAATCAAGTTCCGTAACTCCAGCCCTGAATGGATACCCAATTTTCAAAGCAAAATTCCTTGCTATCACCCTATCAATAATATTAGACAACTTTGGATGACTAGCCCAAGGCCCCCCCAAGGCCTTACAACACGACCTGTGAAGATCCGGGTTAGAATAGGTTATCAGCAACCCATGCTTGCAGTAAAAGGTGACTTATTGTAGTTAGATGCATGTCATCATATCCCAATTGTGTGGATTGATGCTCATGATATCAATCACTGGATTGTATGATTATTTACAGGCTTGATTATTTACAGACCACCGTCATATAGCTGAGTGAAGCGTTAAACAACAAACAAACAAATGTTCTGCATTATTGTTCTGCTACTGTATTTATTCAAGTCAAAATTCATTGATTATGTTGACTCACTTTGCATATTTCACACAAATACACAGCTTATCCGACGTTAAGGGGCAGTAGGGAATATCAGCATATGACTGAATGGTTTTGGGGAAAATATATCTGCATTGCATTTTACCATCCACCTCAAACAAGTGATTTTTAATGGATGGTAATCTCTAGAGTGTGCCAATGACTAACATATTTATGACTATAGACGATTAACCATTGCCATCGCAACAGCTACAGCCTCTCTCACCATGCTCACAGTCCCTTAACCATATTAGTTTTTCATTCTGCAGGCTTACAAATAATAACTGAGAACATAAAACCTTAACTTAAAAGGGCACGTGAAAATGTTACATCACAAACACAAAATGATATCTACTTGCCATGTTAGACGAGTTGGGATAAAGGAAATGTTTGAGCCTTGTACTGTAATGCTATCATGGCTATGGCTCTAAATGAAGCAAGTCTAGATTTTCAATAGGTTTTGAATCTCATCTCATTGCGTCTCCTTTTCAATTTAAATGCAGTTACTCGTTTCTATCAAAATTACATATCATAACATCACAGTGGAGGACACCAGAAATGGGCTTTACACATAGTACCCACATGGGGAATCGAACCCAGTTCTTCAGTGTGACAAGTGAATGCTTCAACCACTGGCTACCTTTTGCCTCTTTTGCCTATCATTTATTTTGTACGGAGCAAAGAGGAGGAGCCAACAGATATTGTTGCCAGCTATATTTACTTATAGGTAGCCAAGTGATGAGCAGTAGATGAATTTAGGTTGCCAATCGTTGAGGAATGATTATTAGATGTTACTCTGATATTTAGAGGATTGGCTATGACAAGAATTAACATGGGAATGACTATTGCTTGATGAATCACCCCCATGTCATCAGATCTTCCCAAACCAGATGTATTAATAAACATGATAAAGACTTTACAAGTACACTGATAACAACACCCACTGCAAGAACAAAAGAGGGTAGCATGTACATAAAAAACGAGAGGGGAGGTTGTTATCATGGTTATGTCACATTGTTATGTTATGACACAAACAAAATTGTTTGTTATGTAACGCTGCTCTTAGCAATATTCCAGCTATATGGAAATAATCAACATGATCAAGTCTGGACCAGACAATCCAGTGATTCACATAATGAGTATTGATCCACGCAATTGGGATACAGTAACATGCATCAACCAAGTCAGTGAGTCTGACCACCCGATCCCGTTTGTCGCCTCTTACGACAAGCGTAGTCACTTTTACAGCAAGTATGCGTTGCTGAAGATTCTACCCTGGATCTTCATGGGTCAACAAGAACAAAAAAGACTAGAGTAGTTGACATGGTGTTCGAAAGGAAATGGGGATACACACCTACTGCATCCCTCCTCTGCATCTACCAGTGCAACAATATGCTGTTAGGGACATAATTTTCCCATTCGAATATTATACTCCTTTTCCAGATACCCATTAGTAAAAGTGAAGACTATTCAGTCATATCATTAAGTTAATATGATCCTGGATTATGTACCACTACAAAGTTGTTCTTGTTTCTACTGAAATATATTAATGACTAGAGACATGGGCAAAATAACTTAGACCTGCATCGATGTATAACACTGTTCCAATGATACGAAATATCAAGGTCATACAAATGTTATTCACCAGCTTTGACATCGATATCGGGAGAAAATATGACGTGGTTGTGTACCAATGTATAACACTGTTCAAATGATACTAATATGCAGGTCATAAACATGTCATACACTGGCTTCGATCGATAAAGGAACACGCATAGGAATATTCATTGTTGCATTCACGCTCAGCATTTGGATAGTGAGATTATCGGTTACATAAGCGGATATTCTCCATAACCGCCTCAACAGGCCGCCGACCGTTGAATCCACACCGCGGGGTTACGAGACAAGAAAGCAATACAAACGATAGAACAATGTTCTGTCTAATACTAGACAATCAACTGTCATCGGCAACATGTGGCGTTATTGGTTGTGACGATCGATACTCGTAAATTTGTCCTCTCTGTGTGTTAAGATGTGTTAAACATGAATTGATCCATTTACACAGATCTCGGATCGATACTTTTTAAAACAGATCACGTGTTCAAATGCATCAGACGAAGCCGGTATGTGTCTGTACAGACGCCGGCTTCTGACAAGTACTGATCGCACACAAGCGGAAAGGGGATATTTCCCTTATCAAAGTATTAACCATACTAGTGTGTACTTCCAGTATCAATATTCCGCGAAATGAAACCGACTAGCATGACTAGGCTGCTCCGATACTGTCCCATCAGCTAGACATGGCGCGCGTTTGAAACCGGCAGGTGTAAATCCAGGTGTGTTCAGTAAATGCATGATGATATACACTGGCAGTTGGGAAACACATATTTATACGTTAGTTTGTAGAACTTACCTGCAAACAAAACACAAACTGCTGCTATTATAATCCTCGACATGTTTCCCGTTCAACTAACACACAACGCACGCTATCTCTGTCCCGCTTCTACCTGCTAACCAGTGACGTCACAAAAGTAGTCCCGCACTATTTTCTCTTGAGTGAGCTGTACATATATATAACCTCGTCTTACCCTGGGTAAACTCGACACACAGTGCAATCACCGGATGCCTCAAACACGAGCCTGGAGCGCCATTAATTGGAGGATTATCCTTTTATTATGTGTCATTCGGATTATTGTTCTGTAATTCAATAAGTTTACTGTCTTCACAAATTATGGTGACCCGAGGCATGATTTATGGTGAATGCCAACATTCTTGATGACGCAATGTACGTGTGACTGACGGTGGATCTGAAAACTGGGAAATTTGGTCTGCGCACTGTTTACATTAAAGTAATTTAGTTGTCAGCACGTAGTGTGTGCAGCGCTAGCTTGCTATAAGCGGAATCTTATGTGTCTGCGTATTTAGTCACATGTACAGCAACCTCTGCCATTACTGCAAGAATATCGTCAGCGGTAACTATAGGCGGACAGTGTTTTGGACGGCCTAAGGGAATGGACGTATGCTTGAATTTCCAGAAAATGACATTAGCTACCTGGCATAACTTTCTAACTGAAACTACTCTTCGGGGACCATTATATAAATTAATGTTCTGATTATGTAAAAACGTAGGCAGCCATTCATGTCTATGAATTATTATAGATATAGTATGTAAAAACGTAGGCAGCCATTTATAGGTCTATGAATTATTATATATATAGTATGTATGTATTATGTGAAATGCTATTATTCTTAATATCCTAAGTAAGTTCGCTCATAAGTATCAAGACGCATGCACTTACGTGGCAATTATTGTCAGTGATGCTGGTCCGAGAAAAAGAGGAATGTGTCACAAGACAGGTGCCTCGATCTTCTAGTTCCACATCATATGTGATACACACCTGGTAATTCAAGTGATGGCCTTTTACGGCGATACATGAGTTGAAGCATACATTGAGATGATACATGCTCCCAGTGATGCAGTCAGATAAACACACATTCACGAGGAGGTAGATTCAGCAATTGATACACACATATCAGATACAGAATGTTAAGGCCTACATCCCAAATATCATCTGGTTATAACCCCATCCTTTATTGAAATAGTTTAACAGGAAATAATGTGTGATGATGTTGAATGAAATATATATACTACCCCCTTTTTGACAGAATATTTTTAGTTTTCCACCATGCACAACACTGATTCTCGTGATATGTCAAATGTATATTTAAATAGATTGACATACTTTATTATCGCTATAAAACGTTGAGTAGCATACATGTATAGAGAGTGAGTGAGTTAGTATGGTTTTACGCCGCTTTTAGTAATATTCCAGCAATATCACGACGGGGGACACAAGAAATGGGCTACACACAATGTACCAATCTCGGGAATCGAACCCGGGTCTTCGGCGTTACGGGCGAACGCTTTAACAACTAGGCTACCCGACCGCCCCTATACATGTATAGACACATGGGGATTATATTATGAAGTGTGCGTGTGCGTGCGCGTGTAGACTAACATCTTGTCTCTGAAATGAATATATTTACACAATAAAACATTTGTTAAATTATGTTAATAATCTCTTATAACAGGAGCCCAGATACGGTAGATTTGCCCATTATTATAGACTTGCATGGACTGTATTGGATATATTTGTTTCTGGGTCTGTGTGAGAGACTAGTCTGCGTGCACAGTCAGCATTATTTCAGGAGGGCCTGTAAATACATACAAGTCCAGGGCCAGGAAAACCGATGGTTGACAGAATGAGCAACGTTCCAGGCTGTCGGTGCAGGATGCCTAACAGTCACGCTGATCGCACACTGTAACCTTTCCATCCTTAGCCAAGACACGCATGGTGTACTGGGGTCCGAGTCTGTCCGGAGGCGCCACGGAGATATTCTAAAGGGACTGACGAATATACTTATATATTCTCAAAGGGTCATTAGAAACGTTTCTTCCCCTTAGAATGTTGAGCCGTTGTTTTTGTAAGACCCCCCCCCCCCCCGCTCCCCTCCCCCACACACACCAACCTCAACCACAACAACAACTGTTCTGGTGAACTTTGATACCCCGCAATGGCTGTATGCCATATTTGTCGTCTGAACGCCGAGTATCTATGGTATGCGATAATAGCCCATATGTAATACACGCTCTGAGTCCGCTACTCTATCATCAGGCATCTTCTCCTATCTGAAGAATGTTTATGATATGTGTCCACAACATTCAGTGGCGTTTCACAAAATGGGGGTGGGTTGTGTCGGTTGTTGAGATTTCTTATTGTAAGGCCTTTCGCATTAATTATTGTTCATGCGTATTTGTAGTTTAGGGGACGTCAATCGCATTAATTTGATGAAGCATTAATTCATGATTTGCAGAACAATAGAAATGAGCCTGGAGCCTGAAATAGAAGACCCCTAGATTTATCCAGCCATTACAACCGGCCTGACAACATCCAAGCTGTCCCAAACCTGGCTTATCTCCGCGTGTTTCACCAACACCGAGCAGCTGTTGGTCCACAGAGTTTATAACCCCAGCTGTCCGGGGAACGAGGTCTTTTCCATCCCCTTTTCTCCGCTATCCTCTCCCCATCCTGCGAAACCCCTTACCCCATCCACCGCTATCCTCTCCCCATCCTGCGCAACCCCTTACCCCACCCGCCGCTATCCTCTCCCCATCCTGCCAACCCCTTACCCCATCCACCGCTATCCTCTCCCCATCCTGCCAACCCCTTACCCCATCCACCGCTATCCTCTCCCCATCCTGCGCAACACCTTACCCCACCCACCGCTATCCTCTCCCCATCCTGCGCAACCCCTGACCCCACCCACCGCTATCCTCTACCCATCCTGCGCAACCCCTTACCCCACCCATCGCTATCCTCTCCCCATCCTGCGCAACCCCTTACCCCACCCACCGCTATCCCCACCCCATCCTGCGCAACACCTTACCCCACCCACCGCTATCCTCTCCCCATCCTGCGCAACCCCTTACCCCACCCGCCGCTATCCTCTCCCCATCCTGCCAACCCCTTACCCCATCCACCGCTATCCTCTCCCCATCCTGCGCAACATCATACCGCATCCACCGCTATCCTCTCCCCATCCTGCGCAACATCATACCCCACCCACCGCTATCCTCTCCCCATCCTGCGCAACACCTTACCCCACCCACCACTATCCCCTCCCCATCCTGCGCAACACCTGACCGCATCCACCGCTATCCTCCCGTATTCCTCGTCCCGAGTCTGTCATACTGACCCTGGAACAAATATATCCAATTAGCCCATGCAAGTCTATAATAGTGGGCAAGTCTAGATTACTGCAGTTTCTGAAAATATAGAGAGTGCCTCGTCTCCTTTTATTATATTTTATTATAATTTAACGACTGTTTTTTCGTTCTGTGAAGTATATTCATTTAAGAGACTAGATGTTAGTCTACCATCACCCAGTCCACCGCTATATCTCAATCCATCCCGCGCTATCCCTGCCCCCATTCTCCGCTATCGCCACCACCCATCCCCCATTCTTCAGCACACTCCCGAAACCCGTCCCCTTTATCCATGTACTCGCTGATCTCTGATCCCACCTTCCATACTAATCCTCCCGCCATCCCAACGGCCATATATTTTTTCGCTGATCTCTGATTCCACCTTCCATACGACTACTTCTTCCCGCCATCCTAACTACGACTGGATACCCCCCACCCCTCACCAACCCACGGGCGACTCTGCCCCGTCTGTCGGCACCCACCAACTGCGTGTCACATGTGCAGCGAGGCGTGGGATCAGAAAACTTGCCGAACCGGATCACATTCTTGTCACGCTTGACTGAATGCGCCTCAATTCTCTGTCGACTGCGGAAGTGCAGAATCTATCATATATCATATTTATTAAAATATACGCTGCCAGCCACCTCATGATAAATATGTTCGGCCAGCCACCTCATGATAAATATGTTTATACACCATGAATGAAAATAATATGTGTATATATATAAATATGTACATATATATGTAATATATATAATGTACATTATGTACATCTACCTTTCATGTTTATAGTTATATTTATTCCATATGTAAATAGTTTGTACCCTGCCCTACGAGGGTGTTCTGTATAATGAAAAATCTTGAATCTTGAATCTATATTTATATAAATGGTATAAGAGCAAGATAACAGGTGACAATAACAAAACTTTAGACATATCACATGTCATGTTGCAATACAAATATGTTATATATCGAACGTCATCTGAAGTATAAATACGTTATGTATCACATGCCATCTGCGGTATAAATACGTTATTTATCATGTGCCAGCTGCAGTATAGATACGTTATGTATCACATGTCAGCTGTAGCATTATTCAGTTGTATATCAAATGTCAGCTTCAGTATAAATACGTTATGTATCACGTGCAAGCTGCAGTATAAATACGTTATTTATCATGACTGTGCCAGCTGCAGTATAGATACGTTATGTATCACATGTCAGCTGTAGCATTATTCAGTTATGTATCACATGTCAGCTTCAGTATAAATACGTTATGTATTACAAGCAAGCTGCAGTATAAATAAGTTATGTATCACATGCAAGCTGCAGTATAAATAAGTTATGTATCACATGCAAGCTGCAGTATAAATAAGTTATATATCACATGCAAGCTGCAGTATAAATAAGTTATGTATCACATGTCAGCTTCAGTATAAATACGTTATATATCACATGACAGCTTCAGTATAAATACGTTATATATCACATGTCAACTGCAGTATAAATAAGTCCTGTATCACATGCAAGCTGCAGTATAAATAAGTTATATATCACATGTCAGCTTCAGTATAAATACGTTATGTATCACATGCAAGCTGCAGTATAAATACGTTATGTATCACATGTGAGCTTCAGTATAAATACGTTATATATCACATGCAAGCTGCAGTATAAATACGTTATTTATCATGTGCCAGCTGCAGTTTAGATACGTTATATATCACATGTCAGCTGTAGCATTATTCAGTTATGTATCACATGTCAGCTTCAGTATAAATACGTTATGTATCACGTGCA